GCCACTAACCCACAGGATAGACTAAAAGAAAACAGATCAGCCTCTTTCATGATAAGAAGAGTAACCGAGAAGACCATCTACAAGAACTAAGTTGTGAGGAGTTTGTTTTTTTAACATACATCAATATTGCATGTATATTAATGTTAATATACATTGCCTTGGGCAGATGAGATGTGTTATTTTTTAAAAAAAATTCAATGACATTTATATAAAAACAGTGAACCAAGACATTTTATCTTAAAAAAGACACTTATCTTTAAAAAAAGAACTAGCAAAAATGAAAATTCCAGAAATATTTGTTTTTAGAATGAGATCAGTGTAAATTTTTCCAGTGCATAACAAAACACTTCAAAAAAATTTAATCATTAAACTTAACATGTTTTAGAAAATACATGAGAACAACCTGGATTTAGGGGGTTTAGACCAAGTCTTTGAAGTATCTTAAATCTCCTTGAGACATAAAAGACCGTTTATAACTAACAGTTGCTTTGTAGAAACAATGTTGACGAGATGTTTTAAAATTTTCTAGTTAAATTTTTATTAGAATATGTGGGTAGGGAAAAGGGAGCATCTGTATTGCAAGATGACTTCATAAAATTGATTTATTTAACCTCAGAAATGGGGAACAGGATGCTTACCAAGGAAGAGATTTATCCATGGCTTGTACACAGGAAGCAAATGAAATTTGGAAAGCTATATCAGCTTTAGGTGGGCCTCACAATTTCGGAACACCAGGATAAGACAAGTGACACAGAATCTTTAATAGGTTTTTTGTGGGTCTTGTTATATTAATAGAACCCAATATTGGTGCATCCAACTTTGATAGGAAACTATGAGACTATGGAACACATCAAATCTACTAATATATGTTTTTCTGCTAAGTTTTGCTTTTAAAGCAATCAGATCTACAAGGAAAACTTATGTGGGAATAAAGTCTGTGTTAGCGTTTGGAGCTGCTGACAGGAAGAGACCTTTTTTTCTAAGAAAAACATTTCCCTGTCCTGCTATGTTATATATGTTCTTCAACATTTGCTGAGCAACTCACCTGCTCTTGGCTGTGTGTTTTTGGTCAAGAGAAGGGGAAGAAATAGAGGGAAATATTTTAGAAGCCAACTGTCTAAAATGTTGACTTCTTTCTCAGCTCTGACTTAGTCTGTTGGCCATTCATTTTACTAATTACCTCTTCTAAGAAAATGTGAACAGAAATTTGTACCACTGCTGAATTACAAATTAATTTTAAAAATGTTATATTAGATTTAATTTGTAAGAGATTTAGTTAAGAAATTGAAAATACTTGGCATTTTACTTATTGTATTATTAACAGATATGTTATTATGTTAATATGTGATAAATAATACATTTACTGAATGTTAATATATTCAAATTGTATTTATTTTTTCTTGTTCTAATCGCATATGCACTGTAGACTTTTCCTAATTGGCTCAGTGACTCTCCTGCCTTTTCATCCTCCTTCCCTCCAGGTTCATTGATCAGACTAACAACTTATATCTTCTAGTACTTTGTTCTTATATTTAAACAATATCCCTTCTGATATAGTGAATATATTTTGTTCTGTTTTCACTTAGATTTCTAAGGTCTTATTATTAAAGAATAACATTCTTAGATTTCTTTATCTTTTGAAAATTCTGTATTTAAATCAGTGGGTGATTTGAAGAAAGCTGTGTTTTGGGAGAGAAAGGTTGCTTTGCATTTTGTTTTGCTTTGTATTTTTTTTTTATCCTCAACACTATACTTCCAATCAACTGGATGCATTCATGCTTATGTTGTATAAAGTAAATTCAAATTAATCTGATAAGAATTGCATTTTTACTCCTTTAAAGAGTCGGTATTACTTGGATAAACAGATTAAGTAAAAAAGGCAGACAACAAAAATACATTTGGCATGATGTCATCTTTCTAAATAATATCTACACAGAGATTTGGAAGGATATATATCAAGGTACAAGTAGGACTATGAATGGTTTAAAGAGATTTTCTTTTATCTGTATTTACTAATTTTTCTATGGTAAATTGTAGTTGATTTTATAGTTAGAAGTGCAAAATTTTTTCTTTACATTAAATTTAAAAAATCGGTGTTGTGGAACTGAGCACAGAAATCTAGTCACACTGGGTCTTGACAGACTGAGGTGCACTCCATCCTTTGTTCCGTGGTTGGGTCAGGAGCCCTGCTCTTGTCTAAGAGCTGGTACTGGATGTGGAGAGGGTGCTTATAATTCAGAATCCATGAGTATGCACCCTGTACCCTGCAAAGGACTCCCCAGGGTCGTTGCTAAGGCAACCTTCTCATCCATCCTAGAGATGAAGTCACTCGTCCAAGTTCACGTGGCTGCATGGCTTACGACGGTTTGGAGAGGTCTTATTTCAGAGGTCACATACTTGTGAAATGTTTGCTCTCATGTCAGTCCTGCAGGCTTACACAATAGTTAAAAAATCTGGAATTAGTGTAGGCATTTAGCAATCAGGAACATTCACATAAAAATCAGATATCTAGGTTGTCCTGAAATAACTTTGAAAAGCCACACTTAGTGTTCTTTTCATAAGTTGACTGATGAATTCCAATAATAATGGCCCACTTTCTGAGGGCCACACACTTTTTATTCTCCATTGGCCTTATAGAAGCAACCTGGCCCTGTAGAGCTACGTGTTTACAGCTTCTGTGCACTGGTCAAAAGCAGCGATGCTGTGAGGGTGTGGCTCCATGTGGATAATGACTAGCATTGCCAAACACCACTTCTCAGAACACCTCAGTTTTTCTCCTTGTAACTTCTGTCATTTGGGAATCATCACTGGGGAGTGAAAAAAAAGCAAATAGATCCAAACCACAGCTTGAGTCAAAGCAAGTTAGAAAACACAGTTAGGAGTGTGGGTTTGTTACTTCTATGAGACGTGATAGGGAAGAGTAAGCATCGGAGGTGATCACATGGCCCACTGGATGTTCCTGACACTGCAGACCAATTTTCAGAGAGCAGGAGAATGTGACGCTGCCTTCTGAGGGCCTTATTTCTTGGAATCATTGATCTCACTTATATTAACTTACACAGTTATTAATAAATGAACTAAATCTCTGAAAGTACCCCGAAGCAAAGCACATGATGTGAAAAATGCATTGGTACATCTTGACTTTTTGGTTCAAAGACAATGTTTTAGTTGTAATGTTACTTCTAGACTATCCTCTTCTGAAAGCAAATTATCAAGGTTTGTTAGAGAAAACTATTCATGTTCATCTCACTAAACCTTTTCAAGATGGAAGTGGATCCAACACAGATGTTCGCATCATAGTTAAGGGTGAATGGCAGACATTTTATTCTGAGATAGAGGAGAGCCATATATATTTAAATGAGATGTTAAATAAGGTATGTGTTTTTTCCATGCTCTATAATGCTGAGCTTTATGCCTTGAAGGCATTAAAGATTTGGATTTGTTTTGAGGTTTCATTACCCCTTGTCACATGGGTTAAAACTTTTACATGTGCTGTATTTAAAGATTCCAAAGTGTTTTTGCTCATTTAATACTTTTTCTAGAGTAACTTTCATATCCTGGCTCTGAATAACAAAATACCTTGCTCGTGGTAGATTCATCGTTATAGCTGCATTATTTGACTTGAACTCGATGATAACCAGTTTATTTGCAGGAAAACATTCATCTAGGCAGAAGCGTTCAGAACATGTGTGTAGAATCATTTCTCCCAGTACACATCTAACTCATTAATTTTGCTTCTCAGCATCTCACCAAGCTTTCTCTAGGACACTTTTCTTGTTAATCTGAGTAGGAGAGTCCTCTTCAGTCCTTCATGACTGTTTACATAGTCCATTGATCAATTTTGTTTAGATTTTTAAAAGTTGTCATGGCTATTTAACTGAAAGGCAATCCTGAATGCACATCTTTTTAGACATATTTTTTCTGGATTTATTGCAAATTTAATAATTAGGACATGAGGAACTGATTCCTAAATGGTCTTGACTTAAAAACAAACAGTTAAAAAACACACAATGCTTAGCTGTGGCGTTGGCCAACATTTATGCCTTGTATGTCACTTGTGAATACTTTCAAATAAAAAATGTGCAAAACTGCATTTATTTTTTGGCCTCATAGACAGCATAAAAGCTGTTTCCATGCTTCTTCTAAGTTAGTTCTGTAAAAGATGTAATGCTACTTAAATTTTAAACAAGTCAAGAGCCTTCAACAAGACTGTGTTATGTTATCGCATCTGGTCATTCTTTGCATTAAAAGGATTACTCTCAATGTTTTGCAATCCTTTCTATTTAGACATTCAAAATGTTACTACCAGAATAAAATCCCAGCAGATCACTAGAGGGAAGAGAATACAGAGGGGAACGAGTAGCATTGAAATGCACTTTAATCTCTAAAGCTGTTTTTTAGTTTTAGGTTCATGAATTCCACTAAGAATCCAATAAAAGCTGTTGAGCCCTCTCCAGAAAACCATTTGTAAAATTTAAATATTCAGCAAGGCTCAACATACCTCTGTGCTCACAGGTTAGAAACCCTGCAACATATGGATGTTTTATATACAATATAGAAAATGCATGTGTGCACATATATGCTATAGACTATAAATCTAGTTTAAAAAAAACTTGAAAACCTTGGTTGTTTCTGTCTAAGGGGATGTTTAAACCCATGGGATGCAGGTAGATTTGTTAACTTTTAGGAATCAATATTTTAATAAAGCAAAAGCTATGTTGAAAACAAAAAATAAAAGTAGCAACAAATATTAACATAAAGATAGCTTAATGGCAGCTGATGAAAACAGCTTACCCCAATCCCTTTAATTTCCCTCATCCCTAGTCTTTTATTTCAAATGTTCATGAGATGCCAATATTCTACATAAGTATGCAAAAAAATAAATGTTATATGTTTTATGCACTCATAAATGTTTATGAGTTTAAAATGTTTCTAATTTTCCTTATAATTTTTTCTTTAAGCACCAAAGAAATTTAGAAACCTGTTGAATAATTTTATAATTCCTTAGAAATGTGTTATAGAGAGTGTGTTTATAATTTTCATATATTTGGAAGTTTTACCTGTCTTTTGTTATTGCTTTCTTTTTAATTCCATTCTCTTGCCAAAAACCTTACTGTGTACAATTTCAGTCCTTTGGGATGGGCTGTCATTTGGTTTTTATATGACCTGTCTTGGTGAATGTTTGAGATGCACTCGAAAGACTGTGCATTCTGCCTTTGTTGGTTATAGTGTTCTGTGAATGGCAGGTCGAGTTGGCTGATATGTACTTACTCTATTCGTTCTGTCAATTATCAAGACCAAGGTGCCAACATCTCCATATATAATTGTTGTATTGGGTTGAGTGGCATTTCCCCAATTCATGTCTATCCAGAATCTGTAAATATTACCTAATTTAAAAATGGGATCTTAGCAGGTGTAATCAAGTGGAAGACAAGGTTGTATTGGATAAGGGTGGGTCTAATCCAAACACTGATGTCCTCATAAGACTAAAGACATTTGGACACAGACATGAAGGGAAGATGGCCATGTGAAGATGGAAGCAGAGATCGGAATTATGAAGTCACAAGCCGAGACATGGCAAGGATGGCTGGCCATCACCAGGCTCTTGAAGTGGCAAGGAAGATTCTTCCCCAGGCCTTCTGACCTTGATTCTGACCCAGGCCCTGCCAACACTGTGATTTCAAATTCCTAGCCTTCAGAACTGTATTAAGAAAAAAAAAGGCTCTGGAATGTTTTAAAGTTTTTAAAAAGCAAAAATGCTCTCCATGTTGCTGATAAATCAAGAAACAGTCAGGTGCTTTATCTAGCATAGTATTACTAATGTATGCATGTAAGTATGTATACATGTGTGGGGTTACATTATAAAGACTTTCAACAAGATAGTAAGTATTTGCTACACTTTCAATTATACAAGACTAGGAACACCAAGATGAAAACTCTCGCTCAAATATTGGCTTAGATCATTATTTATCAATCATAGAATGGCTCTGTTCCAAGTTCTGGGCTGTGCGGAGTACCTCTAGAGAATTCAGATAGAATAGAAGCAGCCATCTTCTCAAGAAGCTCCCAGCTTTATTCAGGATAAAGACCTGCAACCAGGGAAGTATAGGTGATCAGTGCTGTCGATATACAGGCAAATGTGATGTTTTGGAAATACTTCCCAATTAATGTTTCTTTACTGGCTAGCTAAATTTCTGTCCCTGCTTAATAGATCCTGGAAAGAGGCTGGCTGAAGGTTCTGGGAGTGCAGGTAAGGTCAGACTGCGGCAAGAACGAGAAACCCAGCCCCTCTCATCCTTGGAGGGTAGCAGAAGAAGAGGATGAAGGGGCAAGTGGATCCCAACCTTTCTCACAGGGTAGAAAATCCCAATCTTCTGCTTGGGAACAGCCCAACAAGAGGGAGGTGCGGGTTGTGAGCTTCAGTCCAGGGAGAGTTGCTCTTATGCGCTGCGGTGAGCCTCACTGGGTTGGGACAGGACTGCAGAACCCGGTAGCCTGCATTGAGCCCCAACTTAGATGGTAGGCCACTGGTGCCTGGGCACAGGGGCCAGAGACAGCACAAAGGCCCCTGGCAGAGGTTGGGATCGCCCCTATTCCCAGCCAAAGCCAGGCCCTAACCCAGAAGCTCAGGGTGAGCCCCTGTGGAAAAACGGCACCCTCTGTAAGAGAAGTGGAGAGAGGTAGAACTCGGAGAGACGTGTTGCCTAAAAAAGGAAATAAAAACAAGAACTCCTATTTTGTTTGTCAGTGTATTTTGTTTATTAGACTTCACATGTATAGAATTGTACACCTGAAACCCATATAACTTTTTTAACTGATGTCACCCCAATGAATTTAAAAAAGCAAGAACTTCTGAATGCTTGTGCTAATAAACGAGGCAAGGAGAAGCTGTAAATGGTCAAGTTAAAGCCACAGCCCTCATCCTTCCTCCCTGCTTCTCACTCACCTGGGAGGGTGTGTTAGGAGAAATGAAGCCGATTCCTCCTCACCTGAGACCTACAGAGGCCACATTTTCTTTTCACCTGTTCTAAAATCAGCTGGGAGGATAAAGACAACTGAGGAACTGGTCTTACATGTTCTCATTCCCCCCCTGCTTGTTCCTGCAAGCAAGGTCAAGGCTTTGCAAAAACAATGTATAATATGTCTAAAAGTAAAATGCCCCTTAAATTAAGATTTCTAACTGTTTTTCCTAAGGTTGTATTAAAAAAGGCACACTCAATTTCTTGATGTTTTGCATTTTATTATTCTAATCATACATCTCTGTTTCATAAAGGTCTAAATGTAACTTCTCTCTGCCCTTACTGCCTCTTTTGATGGCTTGATGGTTCTCATTAAAATAAAGCAAAAAAAGTATAATTGAATTTTAGTGTAGTTGGTGACTCCTACAGGAAATGTCAGAAAGGGAACCTTCTAGAGCACTGGTTTTGCTTAGACAGAATCGAGGCTGGCTTCCTCCACAGGGCAACGGCCAAGCAGGGCACCATAGTAAGTAGGCTAAGAAGTAAGAAAATAAATAATAGAGAATTAGAAGTCGAACAAGAAGCTGTTTTAACTCCACCATACTGCAACTTTTGTACTGCTTGAAAGATAAAACTATATTTAGAGTTTAACCTTATTTTTATTTTAAGTTATATATAAAAGACATCCTACATATATTTTTTGCTGCTTATGTCCTTTAAAAGTATACCTGGCCCAGTGCTGAACAGCATATTTTAAAAAATAGTAACAGTAAGAAAAGGCTAATTCTCCACCTGATTTTAAAAGGACATCCTTAGTTTTTTATCATGTAAAATAAGAATAAAAACATGAATTTTGCCTGACCTTTGGGAGATGGTATGTAAAGGGGAGAAAAGAACCATAACTCCCTCTACTGTAGGCTTCTACATTAATCTTTCTTTTCTTCTGTGAAGGGCTATTAAAACTACATAAGGAGAGGCGGCTGAGCTTCCTGAGAAGACTATGCTTTGGGTATGAGTGTTTGTTTGGTGTGGGTGTGTGTGTGCCTGTGTGTTGAGCAAGGAAGAGGAAGATGAGATCCATCCCCCAAGAATGAGGTGGCCCAGATCCCAAGGAAGAAATGAGGCATGAGCCACATAACTTTTGGGTAATGAAGCAGGACTGTGAAGAACCAGGAGGCCTCTAAGACCTCCAATGCAGCCAGAGGTATGGAATCATCCAAAAGGATAACAGTAGGTTCCAGATGTGGTAATGGGACCAGGGATTTGACAATGCACATTTTTTTTCTTTCAGAAGACCAGTTATTTTTCTCCACAAAACAGGGGCAGCAAACAATGTGTCTCAATGAACTATCCTTTAAAATTATAGATATATATTTATGATATGTATATAAGATCAGAATCTCTCTCTTTCATTTCTATCTCTATCTTTAACCATATCTCTAAATATTCTTTTTCACCTGAGTACATATGACTCGAGTGCCTAGGAAAGTGCTTTGCACAGAGTAGTACTCAATTAATTCTATATTAACCCTCAGAGGCATCTGAAAATCACCCATGAACTTTTACTGCTCTCTTTTTTCAAGGTAATACTATTACATCAAAAAATGTACAAAGGTATTTCACAACAGCCAGCAGGTTACCTGAGGATAATGCTGAGGTAACACATAAGTGCTTCCTGCGCCAAACCACAGAGCAGGTACCCCCCGCACATCACGTCACTGGTTCTTACCTGTCTGAAAACATCAGCAAGTATCTGGTCTTTCCATGAGTCAGGCTCTGTGGTAACGTGTACCATTTAATGGGTTTTTCATAATAACCCTACAAAATAGAAACTACTATCAATTCTACCTTAAACTAAAAACTTGAAGCTTAGAAAGTTTAAGTATTGAGCTCAAAGTCACACTGCTAGTAAGGGGTGGCACCCGCATTTGAGCAGGCAGGCTGGTCTCAACTGCTCCTATTCTTCCCTTTTTAAACAGAAATTAGCTGAAGGTTTTTTCTTTTCAATTACAGGCGGTGTGCAATATTATATTAGTTTCAGCTGCACAATATAGTGGTTAAACATTTATATGTAAGTAAGTTATATAACTTACAGAGTGAGATCACCTTGACAAATCCAGTACCTGTCTGACCCCAGGTGTTTGGGAGGTGAGTCAAACCATGTAACTCTTCTAGTGGACACCCTCTAGTGACTTCCCGTGTCAGTCATAGAGAAACCCAAGGTCCCTATTGTCACACACAAGGCTCTCGATGTTCTGGTGTCCCTGTTACTCTGATATTACCTCTTACCACTCACCAGCTCTCCACCGGTTATAGCTGTCTCTCTGCTGGTCCTTCAACACTCCAGGCAAAGGCCACGGGGGCTTTGCACTTGCTGTTTTCTCTGCTGGGATACTCCCCCTGCCCCCAGATAAACACATGGTGCAGTCTCTCACCTTCTTATATGCACTCGGTCATCACATTTGGTAATTCTGATGATCCTATTTCAAGTTCCCACATTTCCTCCTATTCCAAGTTCAACACTTCTTTTTCTTCTTCCCTTGTCATTTATAGATTTTTTGATATCTATGCATATTTTCAAATGTATCCATTTATTAATGGTCATCTCCCCTCCCTAAATTATAAGCTTCACCAAAAGTAGCTATTTTTATTTTTGTAATTTTAAAATGCAGCACTAGCATTGAGAATAGAACCTAGCCCAGTAATGGGTGCTCAATAAGTATTGGAACAAATGACAAGAGCTTAATAAGAAACTCACCCAAGTTCACACATTTAGTAATAGGCAAAGTGAGGCTTCATTACAAATCCAGTGTTGGGTTTGTCCACATATCAAATGCATAAAGTATCTTCCCGGGCTCTTCTTCTAAGTCCGTTGGTCTTTAATTATAATAGGTCGGGTGAACGTGAATAAACAAACCAAACAGGAAAAAGCCAGCATTTGTTACTGTCTCTTAAAGTGGGATACTTTAAAGTGAGATCAAATCAGAGGCCAGGTCAGGGAAAGGGGACACTGGTCTTTAACAGAAAGGGAGTTGACAAGTGATGAAGTAAGGAATGTGCTGATGTTTCTGGGCTGTACGAGGGGCAAAGTGTGGGAAGGTCCTGCATGAAGTTGGTGTTGGGTTAATTAATTAGGGTGGGATGCCTGCACATTAAGGGGAGGAAGGAACCGAGGGGATTGATTTGGAGGGGACTGGAGTCTCAAGTAGCAGGCACACAGGATCCCGGAGGCCCAGGAAGGATGGGAGAAGTGCCGGGTACAGCTCAATTTGGCGAGTGGCCAAAGAAACATGTCAGATATTAGTAAAAACAGGCCACAGCTGCTGCTCTTGACAAGCTACATGTCAGGCCTTTCCTTAGCTGCCCCCCCCACCCCCAGCTTATGTCCTGTAAGAGACATTTTCCTCCTAAGACAACCAGTCATAACTCAGCTCTCACTTGAGGGCATAAGAGAAGGCAAGGGATGCACAGGCTTCCTTGCTGGTGGGAAAGGCTCCCAGCTTTAAAGAAAACTTCTGAAAATGGCCTCTGTTGTCCCTAGAATCATGGGAAAAAAACTTGTGGCTATGTTTCTTTAATCTCATATCTAAGCTTGTAATTTATAAGACTTCTAAAATACCTACAAGTATTTTCTTAGTTCCTCTTCAAAATGTACTTGTATATTTTGTCTATTTCTCCATCTTAGAAAAAAGATTCTAGATAGTTCAGAGTAAAACATATTTATCAATATCTATCTATTTACAGGAGTATACACACCAGGGCAGTTTAAACCTGGAGAGAAACAAATACTTAAAGGTAATACATGTTATTACTGAACAATGACCGGATTGCTGGGTAGCATTCCCCTCACTTGTTGTCCTGGGTTCTGAGTGACCCCTCACCCCAGCACAAAGCTTAGATGGGGATTAAGTGCATGGACTCTGGAACCACACGTGGCTGCGTTTGATTCCAGGATCTGCCACTTTGTAGATATGCAGCCGTGGTCACATTATCCACCCTTTATGTTCCTCAATTTTCCTCATCTGAAAAATGGGGGTACAGATAATTCTTGGCTAAAAGGGCTTTAGTAAGGGTTGATTAAAATTACATAATAAAATGGTATTAGATGTTAAATATTAATATTATTTATAGACACTATAAATACTTAAATGATTTATGTGGTTTTTTAACCTGTTATGTACAGCACTTAGAAAGAAACCCAGAGAGAGGTACATAATTTTTGTCGTGTTGAGGAAAAGAAAATATAATTATAGTTCTCACCAACTGATATTTCTTGTTCTTGAAATATGCTATGGAATGTGGGAAGCTTTTCTATTTAGGGAAATAAAAGTCCATATAAAATAAGAGCAGGTTTAATATTTAGGAAGTGAATCCCATTTATTTTTTTCTCTTTATTGGCTTTTCTGTGTGACATGCTCAGATGCCTAGTGCAATCTGCACTCATTTGCATTCTGAGATGCCATGAGGCATGAGAAGCACAAGCCCCAAGAACTGCGACGCACTATCCAGGATGAGGGAGCTGATGGTTTTTCAGGTCCCCCTGCCACAGTGAAGATTTGACACACTGATGGGTGTGGCCCAGTCGGTTGGGCAGCTTCCCACAAAGTGAAAGGTTGCTAGTTTGATTCCCCTCAGGGCACATTCTTAGGTTGTGACAGGGTCAATGTTCTCTCTTTCTCCTCTTTCTAAAACAAATAAATAAATAATAAGAATTTGATTCTATGTCACCCTGTTTCTCAAATATTTTCAAGCATGAATTGATCCCTAGCTTCTGAGGATACTGTAAAGCGTATATAAAGATTGTGAAAAATGTGGAAAGCAAACTAAATCTTCTATGAGTTATCAGTGAGTAAATGTACCTTGAATCGCTAATTTTGTTTGGTTGCTCTGTGGTCACTTTGTTTAAACTAAAATAAATTATTGAGTGGTAATCAGATGCTGGATGCTGTTACGGGGCTGGATACAGAAGCTGAATGAGGTAAGTCCTGGACTCGACAGGAAGCGTTGCTTAGTGGGAGGGAGACCAATTACAGTCATTTAACCACAGCGCATGTGGTAATGCTATGGTACTGAGACCAGTGTATTAACTTGGGGGGATGCTAGGAAGAGAGGGATTACTTTGCTGGAAGTAAGGGCTGTGAATGGCCTTGAAGGATGAATAGAGGTACGAAGTTTCAACCAAGGAGCCATGAACGATCTGTTGAAGGAGGAGGTTGCAAGGTGGAGACTGTCATGACCTGTGGCTGGAAAAATGGAGAGGGGAGGGCTCATTTGACAAACATTTTGAAACACGATCTACACGACCTGGTGAGTAATCACTGCCTACGTTTAGGAGGCGAGGAATTGAAGATGATGTGGCTCGGGTCTGTGACATTAACTGAGATTAGCGATGAACCACATTAGATTGTTTTTCTTTTGTTTGGATGAATGTATGTATCAATCACTCAGACTGAGATCGTTTGAGTTTGAATATTTTGTCACTGCACAGGTAAAACTACCTCGGCCCTACTACCCAGGTGTTCGGCTAGTCACAGCAGCCTCTCAACTTCTGTTTGCACTGTGTCCGGTACTTTGTGGTCTCTCTGGACCAATTTTCTTCCTCAGAAGTCTTGGTTTCTCACTCAACTGACAATAAAATCAACTAGTGCTGCCGCAAATAAAATAAAAACAGCTCCTTTGGTTATTCATATTGGACACACACCTAGAGAATGTAACTCACTCATCTGGGTGTGGTGTTCCAGATGACTGTTTAGGTCACCTTGCAAATTGTCCCTAACCAGGCACGAAGATTAGCAAATGAAATGAAACTGCCCACTTCAGCACAGCAGGAAACTCATCACCCAGGGATATTTTTCTCATTGCTTTAAAAAAAGAAGTGGGTGGCAGAGAGAAAGAGAAAGAGAGAGAGAGAAATAGAGAGAGAGAACTATCCATTGGTAGCTTCTGCATACACCCTGCCCTGACTGGGGATCGAACCCGCAGCATTAGGTGTATAGGACAGTGCTCCAAGCAACTGAGACCCACTAGTCAGGGTCACAGTTTGCCTGCTAAGTCCAAAACTTCAATTATACTACTGAGGGATGAGGTATCTGTTTCTTGTGAAAAATAATTTTTAAATCATAGATTAAAATGTAAACATGTAAAAGTTCCATATATGAAACAAAAGCATATTTCAAGAGTTTTTGAAGCAAATAAAGGTACATCTTTTTTTGTTTGTCAATTTGTATTTAGATGTCAAAGTGTTTTAAAGTATATATAATTGTGACTAATGCATAATGTTAGAGAATAATTATGTAATTTGTGGATGCAAGAGATCAATAAATTTTTAAATATTTTGACTCACTTCTTACTTTTGGTGAGGTCATAATTTATTTGTTTACTTTCTTTTTTAGAATAAAGATAGAAAATGAAACCCAGTTGATTTTGTTTCTTGAATGCACCTTCAGTACAAAGATAAATGCATTTGAGAAGGTTTACTCCACAAACTGGAATAAAGCTTCTATTGATATGTGAATTCATATTTATTTATTCCAGCTTCCCTAATTACTAAGTACAATTGAAAAATGGATTTAAATTATAGGAACCATCTATATTTCAATGCTGGGATACCAGCATTGAATGCTGGAGAGAAAGAATGCTCTTTATTGGAGAGAAAAGAAATATATGATATAAATGATTGATATTATACCTTTTTATAAGCAGTTGAAAGTATATTTATTTATAATCACCAAATAGCCTAAAATAGCTGTCTAAAAATCTTTTTTGGTCTCCAAAAGAATTTAGCCAATATCATTGGTTATTCTGCTCACATAATAAGGATTTGTCTCTGGCATAAGGTTATTTAGCAATTGGCAAAAAAGGCATTTTAAATCATAAAGGTTTTGTTATATTTAAAAAAATGTAATACTTGAGTTCATTTAAAACTATGTTTAAAAGAATTTCAGACTTGACTAATGACTAATGTTGTTATGTCCAAGTTCCTGTTAGTTTTTAATAATTTCATTTTCAATTATTTTAAATTTAAATCATATTAACATAGATCATAATAATAGCAAAGTTAATTACTTAATATTTGATAAAAACTGTCATATCATTTTAACTATTATTGTCTTATTTCCCCTCAGTTGACGTTACTATGCACAACCAATTTTAAATAAATTGTAGACAAATGGAATTTCCCTCCGAGGTCATCCACCATGTCTCATGATGGCCAAAGGCCTCACATGGTTCCTTCAGTAAACAGGGTCCCCACTGCAAAGCCTCTTCCCATGTTCTGGATTCCTCTTTCTTTCTCCCTGTTACAGCCCTTTCAGTTTTCCTCTTGGTCCTTTCAGTTTTCCTATTGGTCCTAGACTCTGTCCCTAGTCTATACATAAGCATGACCAAAATAACTTAATAATAAATTCTACTTTTCAAGTATCATCTTTCTATAGTGCCAAACCAAAGTAATCCTAGGGGAAAGAATCAGGAATTTTTTTAAAGGGAGCTTTTCCAGTGTTTCCCTAAATGAAGGATCTGCTTGCCTGTTTTGGTGTTGTATTTTTTTTCTGTGGTCACAGCTTGAAACCATACAGGAGTGCTACCTTTACAGGCATTTTCATACTCCAGGACAGTAGGTCTCCAGCCCCAGCACTCCCTGCCCTGGGGATAACAGGCGATGTCTGGAGACATTTTTCATGGTCACAGCTGTGGAAGTGCTACAGGCACCTGATGAGTAGGGCCCAGGGATGTTTCTCAATGTTGTAATGCAAAGAGCAACCGCTTACAACAAAGAATTACTTAGCTCCAAATGTGAAGAATGCCAAGGTTGAGAATATGGTCACTAATGCAGCTGAAAGTCTTTCCTTTTAGTCTGGAGCCAGGAGTGAAATCAACTTTGATTTTCTACCAGCTATTTATGAAATGGTCTAATTTTTATTTTTATTTTTGCCTAGAGATAAAGAATTAAAATATATAGACTTCCAAATTTGGATTTAAATTAAGCAGTCTTTAATGAATCCAATAGTCAATGTCACAGTTTTGCCTTGATTATTAATACTATAGTTTTATGAAAAACACTATTAGTGTTTTTTTAGTGTTATTTTCCCCTTCAGATTCTTTTTATTTTCTCTAATGTGAAACAAATAACTCATCAGGCCTCTTAAGTTTATGTGAATATACAATATTTATTCATGCTTACCATATTTTTCTCTACATCTTTAACTTACATCTTTGAATGTTCGAATTCCTCAAAGCTGTCCATGGTTTGTGTCATTCATTAATTTATTCATTAAATAAACAAGTGTCTAGTGAGTGCCAGCAGATCCAGACATTGTTCTGTGTCTCTGTCCTACTCTAATGACAAAGTAGACAAAAATCTGTGCAGTCAAGAAGTGTATATTCTAGTGGAGTGAGAGAGATGATAAACAACAATATATCAGAAAATTACACAGGTATGAGAGTCATGGACACAGGTAGAGTAAGAAAGGAAGGAAGGAGTGCTGTCAAAGGTGTGGGGCTGGGTTGGACTTTTAGACAGATTGGCCAGGGAAAGATTCACTGTGAAGGTGACATTTGAGCAACCCCCTGAAGAAGATGAGTGAGGGAGCCAGGCAGATATCTAGGAAAAGTCTATTCCAGCAAGAGGAAAACTACAAGTACAAAGTTCTGGAGGCTGGAATGCACTTGGTAAATGTGAAGAGAAGAGAGGATTCACGTGGCTGGAGGAGCATGAGCTACAGAAGGACAAAAGGGCAATGGAGTCGGGAGGTGGTGGATGAGAAAGTCAAGTTAGATTTTATATGGCTTTTACTCTGAGTGAGTTGGGGAGCTATTTGAGAGTTTTGAGCAGAATCATGTCAGGATCTGATTTGTGCTTTAAAATGATCACTTTTGGATACTACATGGAGAAGAGATTAGGAGGGCAGGAGTAGAAGCAGGGAAACCAGTAAGGAATCTCTAGATAATGGTTTTGGCCAGGATGCTAGCACTGAGAAGTGGCTTATTAATTTATTGATTCACTGATGGATTTGATTTGAGAAAATGAGAGCAGCTATGAGTTTTAGCTGGAAGAGACTAGAAGACTGGTCAGATAGTTTTATTACTTATTGAATATTATAGTTTTCTTCAATGTAGAGTCTCTTTCGGTGAGAATATCATCTGAAATTGAGAGGCCATGCAACACGCTCAACCAATAATACATAGGCAGGAGATTTAAGTGCTAGCATTTTGTTTGCAATGTCATTTTTTCCTTCCGTCACAAAACCAGCACTGATCCAGCTAAAGGCTGCTCTGTCCATTTGGCTCCTAGAGTAACGTCAATGTGGATTATAACTGCAGGAGACACACAGAAGATATGTAGGGAGAAATAAACCTTTGCTGTTGGAAGTTGGTAAAAATTCAGGTTACTTAACACTGCAGCAACTGCACCCCTAGCTTAGCTGTACTGGTAGAACTGTAGTTGGCATTAACTGAAACAGTAGACCATCTGTAGAAGCACAGGTCTTGGCTGTGCATGGAGCAACCAGGAGTTCAGTTTTGCTATATGAACTTTGAGATGCCTATTAGACATCCAACTGGCTGAATCATTAGTTGGATATAAGTGGCTGGAGTTCAAAGAAGAAGGACAGGCTAAGGATGCACATTTGGGAGTCATCAGCCTGAGGCTGAACACAATTACTGAGGGAGGGAGTGCATAGATAAGAAGTTTTGGAACTGAGTTCTGGAGTATTCGAGCAACTAACAAGTGAAAAAATGCAAGGCCAGGAGACTTGGTATCCTGGAAGCCCAGTGTACAAAATATTTTGAGGATGATCATCTGTATCCTATGGTGTTGATAAGTCAAGTGGAATCATGACTGAGAACTGACCTTGGGATGCAGTGATGTGGTCACTGATGACCTTGAGAGCAGCTCAGGTGAAGTGGTCTGGAGGAAAGCTGAATCTCTTGAATGAGATTAATTCAGGGGAGAATGGTGGGAGAAGAGAGAGACAGCAAGTACAGATGACTCTTTCCAGGAGTTTTCATATAATGGGTAGCAGAGAAATGAAAACTGAATAGGGAAATGGGGTCAAAAGAGTTTTTGTGGTTATTCTTTTGTAAGATGAATGAAATAACAGCTTATTGGTATGCTGATGGAATGATGTAAAAAAGAGGGAAACAATTGCTGAGGCAAAAGCAAGAGGGGAAATTTACTTGGGAGATGCCATTTAATAGGTGAGAAGGGATGAGATGTGGTACACAAATTCAGATACTGATAATTGATAGGACCGCATAGAGTTCATCTACAGGAACGGGATGGAAAAAAGGATATGGATACAGATGGAAATACATGGGTAGATGTAGGTGGAGTGAGAGTTTATGGAACTTCAGATTGCTTCTGGTTTTTTTTTTCCCATTAAAATTGGAAGCAAGGGCATCACTGAGAACAAGGATGGGTAAATAGCTTTTGGAGAATTGACATAGTTGTGTGTTTTTATCAATCTATGTTCAGCTGAATGTGGAGTAGATATGGAATGTTGGAAAGATGCCTTTAACCACAGTTGGAGACTGTCCTAGCAAATCCAACAAAGCAGAGAATGAAAGGTTTAAAGTATACTCAGGGATGGAATTACAAAGGAATTTTAGTTGGGTAAGAAGGGAAGTGTGAAGACTGACTGACAGTGAAAAGGTAATACTATGAGTGGGTTGTTATAGGACTAAAAGGAATAAGCCACAAAAATAGAAGTTGTTGGTTGGGAGAAAGGCTGCTAGAACTTTAAATGGCAGAAAGGCTGCAACAATTTCGGATGACAGGTCTGGGGTATGTCTATGGAGTGAGCAACTGAGTAGGCTTAGGACAAGATCTTAGAATTTTCGTACTCTGAAATTGCTTTAGCTAATCCAAATTCTTTTCTCAAATATTCCCTCTTATTTAAACACCTCAGTTAAATTCACTACCTTTCTTGTGAGTTCAATCATCATAGATTTCAAGTTATAGAAAACAGATTTCACAATTTAGTTAAATTAACAACAGAAGGATAATGAGGACTCAACGTGTCTTACTTTAGATCTATACAAAATGAACATTCACAAAGTTAAATTAAATAAGGAAGGAGTGTGTTGGGCGTTGCCACAGTCCCCACTTATGTGTCTGAAGGGGAATGCATTCCAGGAGCCTTAGCAGATGCTTGAACCCATAGATAATACTGAGCCCTATAGACACCGTGTTGTTTCCCATACACATATACCTACAACAAATTTTAATTTTTAAATTAAACACAGTAAGAGATTAACAATAACTAATAATGAAATAAAACAATTGTCATGATCTAGTAAAATAAAAGTTATGTGAATATAGTCTCTCAAACTATCTTATTGCATTGTAATCGCTGTTCTTGTGGTGATGAGAGATGATAAAATGCCATGTAATGAGATACTCAGATACTCAGAATGACACACAACTTAAAACTATGAGCTGTTTGTTTCTGGAATTTTCATTTAATATTTTCAGTTGGCCAGACGTCAATTGGCCACAGATAACTGAAACTATGGAGCCATGCATGATGGAGTCTACTGTATTTTAGTAATTGAGATGGGTTTCTATCAAAAATGACCCAATCATTCATTAAAATTTCTAAATATAGCCCTGGCTGGTGTGGCTTCGTTGGTTGGGTGTCATCTTGAAATCTAGGAGGTCAAAGATTTGATTACTGGTCAGAGCACATGCCTAGGTTGTGGGTTCAGTTCCTAGTCAGGGTGCATAGGAAAGGCAACCAACTGATGTTTCTTCCCCTCTCTTTCTCCCTCCTTTTCCCTCTTTCTAAAATCATTAGGCATGTTCTCCACTGAGGATTAAAAAAACCCTCTAAATACATCAGACAGTTAAAAATCAGTTATTTGTTTACTATTTGGCTTAAAGTCACCTTTTATAAATTGTTCTATTGGGATATCATCTCTCTCAGCATCACCCACTGCTTTACTCTTATTCTTTTTCTTCATAATATTTTGATTTTTTAAAAGATTTTTTTAATTTTTAGAGAGAGGGGAAGGGAAGGAGAAAGAGAGGGAGAGAGACATCAATGTGGGTTTGCCTCTTTTGCACCCCCTACTGAGGACCTGGCCTGCAACCCAGGCATGTGGCCCTGACTTGGAATCAAATCACTGACTTTTTGGTTCACAGGTTGGCACTCAATCCACTGAACCACACCAGCCTGGGGGGTTTACTGTTATTCTTAAGATATTGGCTAGTATTTTTCCAGTCACTAATTATTCTGTTATGGACATTAGACATAGAGTGAAGAGGTACTTAATTACTGAGAATGATACGTCTTTTTTTTCAATCTTAAATTCTGGAGAAAATATTTTTTCTTTAATCTGAAAAATCATAGAAATATAAGTTAACTTCTTTGAACCATCAGGGCAGCAAGTACATTTTGAATGCTTAGAAAAAGTTGATAGCAATAAATGAACTTACGTGAAAAATAATTGCAAACAATTTAAAGTCACTTCTGACACTAAAGATGGGCCTTATTACTTGGTAGAAAATGTAGTTATTGATCTTAACTTGACTGACTTTTAAACTGACATGTATATTTTATACAATCCAAATATTTGGGATCACTTTTTTCCAAATGATTTCCAATGAATGTATATATTATATAAATTTAATTATATGCACTGATTTTGAGGTTGTTAAAAGTCTGTGTCAGAAACTGTTATTTGTCTTCCAAATGCTCTTCTCTTCCTCTTTAATATAGACAGATGATTTCACCTTAGCACTTTGCAGCTTGAAGCAAAACTTCATTTTTCAGGTTCAGTTGTAACCAGGGGAGACTCTGTGACTAAGCTGAGAAATTTAAGGTGGTTCTTCCTGGCTGTCTTCTTTAAAGTGAATATATTCATGCCCTTCTGTTCTCCCTCATTCTAGCTTCCTGGAATGCAAATGTGATGTCTGGAGCTCTGGTAGCCCTCTTAGATCAAGAGATGAAGGCACTTACCAGCATTAAGATTGTCAAAGAAGAGCTGGAAGGTACTTGGATTGCTGAAGAGTTCATGAAGCAACTATCAGCCAGGACTTCCCACTTTTAGTTTTGTTGACAGAACAAAATCTTGTTTGTGTAAATCACTATTTTCCTGGTCTTTCTTAATTACAGCAAAATTTGATTTCTAATAGGTAAACATCATTCATTCTCATTTAGCCTATATGGCTTTTAATGAAAGTTTTCTTTTATTGACTACTCTTTTGAAACCTCTTCGTTCTTCTATAACTTCTTAGGAAAACAAAAGAATTCATGTGTTCCATCTTCCCCCTAACTTTATTAAGACATAAATGTCATATAATGCTGTATTAATTTAATGCATATGACATAATAATTTGACATATGTGTGTGAAATGATTTAAAGCAATAAGTTTAACATGTGACACTACACATAGTTACAAAATTTTTTCTTGTCATGAGAACTTTTAAGATCTACTCTCTTGGCAACTTAATACTGTGGTCACCATATTGTACATTACATTTCTAGGGCTTACTTATCATAGAAATGCAAGTCTATACCTTTTGAACACCTCCATTCATTTCTCCCATCCATACCTCTGGCAATCACCAACCTGCTTTTTGTTTTTATGAGTTCATTTAAAAAATTTTTGTATATAAGTAAGGTTATACAGCATACGCTGTTCTCTGTCTGACTTATTTCCCTTAGCATAGTGCCTTCATGGTCCATTCATGCTGTCTCATATGGCAAGGTCTCTTTTTTATGGGTATATACATCACATTTTCTTTATCCACTAATGGACATTTAAATTATTTCCATGTCTTAGTTCTTGCAAGTAATGTTGCAACGAACATGGGGTGTGGTTGTGTCTTTGAGGTAGTGATTTCATTTCCTTCAGATATACATTCAGCAGTGAAATTGCTGCAACACAGGTAGTTTTATTTTTAATATTTTGAGGAAACTCTCTTTTTAATATTTAATGTTTTCCATGGTGGCTGCACAAACTTGCATCCCATGGGGCATTGTTTTTATTCACAAGGTTTCTAGACTTGGTCTTCCACATCTATGACAGCAGTTCAATCTTATGTGATTAAGTAATAGCCCAAACAGTAGTCCTAAACGAGGATGAGGGTGGGGGAGTTGTAGAATCAGTTTGGGGAGGTTTTCCAAGCCAGGCATTCCAAGCTCCACTATCTGAGATGCTGATATTCTATGACCAACTCCCATTTGAGAACCACTTATCTATAGCACATCCGCAAGTTTTTATTTGCTTCCAAATGGCAAAATTTAAGCTAGTACATAAAAACTAAGAATTTTGCTAAGTGAAAAACGAGAGTGTTAGAACGTTGTATATTTTGTTCTTTATATTTTGAAATTCGCTTAGCATTTCACAACCTTTTCACTGAACAGTATTTTGAAGCTTAGTTCAAGAAGCCCAGTCGTGTATCCATAAGCAACTGTAATTTTTTCTCCACTAAGTTCTTCCTAGAATCCCTTCTTCAGGAATATGGGGAGGGAGTATGGGATGAGAAACCGTGCATACATCTGTCAAAACACTGTTTTTCTTTTTACTCTCATGCTTTCAGTAATACTTACTAAATATTATGGCATGTGCTGCTGTGCTAGGCACTGTTTGCACTTGCCAATAGCAAAACACAATTATCTCTTGTTTCCATCCAAAGCTCTTCCAGTACTCTGTGGGAGGAACCAGTGTCTTCTTTTTCACTTTCTTGGTGGGTGGCCTGTTGATTTGAGCTGACACCACGCACCATGTACTCATTTAGCTAAGCTGTGGTTAGCCCAAGCCTGTGTTATTTCTTGCTTTGTCTAGAATAAGACTTAGTGATAGAGAAGGCAAAGAGTCGATCACAAATATATCTGAAATATTTGATGAAGAAGTAATATGTTGGGTACAGTGAAAGCCCTTTGGAACAAAAGCTATCCAACAGGAAACAAAATAGAGATAAAGAGACCAGGGTTAATGTAATAAGGATTTAACTTTAGCTCAAGCATGTATTGAGTAGCAGCAGTATTGCAGATTTTAAATGGAGGAAAAAGTTATGTACTGCCTTGTGTTATTTGTTGTATTTCTTCTCCAACTAGAGAAAAGATTCTTTGAGGTTCAGATGCAAAGATTAAACTTGCGAGGTTTTTTTTCCCTATTTCTTAGCTTTAAGTAATGGCTTTGACAATCTTTGAAGAAAGAAGTCTAAAGCTGCTACAGGTAGGACTCTTTGTTTTCACAGGAGAATTCTTTTTTATCAGCAGCAACATTATTTGGATTTCGTCTTCATTGACTGCTCTTCTCTCTGCAACTACACCATGTTGGCACTGTCTTTTTTTAGGAAATACTCTGACTCTAGCTAGTGCCCAGCTCCGGGCAAATCTTGACTTCTCCATGTATTTAATAAGTAAGCATTAATTAAGCCCAACAGGCTGAGCATGCAGTGCCTCACTTCTCCAGTAGGGGCACTGGCCACACTATGTTTGGTTTAATCAGAAATTCCCTTTGGGTCCAAGATTCAGTTTGTGAAGTTATTTCTGCATATAATCACTCCTTAATCGCATTTTATTTTACATTAAATACCTTATTTATTCCACAAACTTATTTTATATACAACACCCTTAAAATAGCAGTTTTCACATAAACAAAGTAATTCCTGGGGCTCTGAAGTTTTGTATTTTTATTTTTCCATACCCTGCCCTGAAGTTCTTAACATATGATTCAAGATATTGGCTCTTCATAATCAGGTTAGTGATTCTTAAGGACTGTAGTCATCCTTGCCTAAGAATTTGTGGTTGCCCTGTTTGGCCTGACTCTGCCAGAACCCATCTATCTTTGCCCATTTTTTAAAAGGGCATTTATATTTAATGTGTTATGAATGAAGCTTTTTCTTTTCTTTTTTTAGCCGAGGAAAGTATTGACATTACAATGATGTTACCCATTATACACACAGCATCTGGTGGCCCTTCCCTCTCTCCCATTGCCAACTCACTTGGTCTGTATACAGTGGGCTGCTACCCAGGTATCCAAGGCTCATTAAATACACAGTGAGAAGCTGGAAAGGAGAAAAAGAGGTCAAAATTTATGTGGGTACCTTACAGGGAAGCTAAAAGGCAAAAAGGTTGAGATTTCCTTGTGTGTGTTTAAAGTTTTTTTCAAATGTAAGAAGACACCGTTTTTATGTTCTGTGTGTCCAAGTGTTAACAGGATGAGAAACATTTTTTTGTTCACACTCCTTTGTAACCTTGAACTGAGAATGTTGAAGTTCTTGCCTTAGTTTTTCATTGCATCCCACAGAAAGGTTATTCCAAATTCACTTGGCAATATTCAGATAAGCTATTTCCTAATCCTCAAAATAGCTTTCATTTTGAGTGTTTCCCAAAAGTCTTAAAATATGTTCATGAACTGTATATATACTTCATTTACTAGGCTTTTGGATTTAAAATCCTTAAAGGAAAAAAACCTTGAAGAACAAAAACTTTTAAATATTGTAAATCTGGATGAGCAGAAAAGGACATGCTTCCTAATAAATACAAAGTAGTATAAATTCATATAAAAGGGAATATCACCAATACTAGGAAGTTTAATATTTCCTGTTCCTGTTGTGATTAATACTAATTTTTTAAACTTTTAAACCAAAGAATATTTTTATTTAAAATAAGAGTACTCACTGAGTAACAAATAAGAAGCAGTATTATGAAGTGATTCAGATTTGAAAACTTTTTCCCAAGGGTGTGGATTGTTCTCCAAAGGAAACATATTCTATTTTCTAAAATGACAAACTCATTAATTTCCTCATTCAACACATACCTATTGAGTGCCAACTGGCATTGTGTTAGCATTGGTAATACAACAGTGGAAAAAATAGACACGAATCCAATAATCACACACATGACTATATAACCACATATTGTGTTCTGTGTTATATGGGAAAAACATGCGGAGTCTTGAGGGACCCGATTTAGGCTGAGCAATGGGGAAGAACCTTGTAAAAAGCAGGCTGGGACAGCATGTGTGAGGCCCTGAAAGAAGGTCAGTGTGTCCAGGACTGAGGAGTTGACAGGAGGGAAGTGTCCCACCAGAGTGGCTGGGTCTGAATCTTGCAGGGTCTAAAATCATGTTAAGGACTTTGATCTTTATGCTAAGACCAGAGTAAGCTCCTTCTGTGTTTTAAGCAAACAGGTGGCAAGGCCATATGTGAACATTTAAAAAAGTCACTCCTGCTATATTGTGGAGGATAAATTAGAGACGGAAATAAGACTGGATGAATAAAGATCTGGTAAGGGCTTATTAAAATGGTTCAGGTGAGAATTGATAGCTGTAGCGGTGCAAAGAGAGAAAAGTAGAGAGGTTCAGGGCCTTCCAGAAGATGAAATCAATAGGAAAGTTCCTGGAGTTACCATCTAGTGAACCTTAGAATTGTGGGCAAAAGCCCAGGCTGATGAGAAGCCCATCTTCTTTACTGTTGAGGGGCAATGGCATTTATGCGATGTGAGCGGAGGTGACTGCTGAAGAAGGTAGACAAGTAATAGGCCATCACATGGTAAATGTTTTAGTCAGAAACAGGAAAGCCAAAGTTTCTGCAAGATAGCAGCCAAGCTAAGGTCGCAGCAACAGCTGGGAGTTCTCTTGGGAAGGCTTGCTGAATGAAGCAACAAAGCATGACATTCAATACTGGTTATATATGGAGTGGCTCATGATTTCCCAGGCAGCTCTGCTTATGCCCCAAAGTAACCCAAGAGGCTAAGTCATCCAAGTCACCTGGCTTACCTTTATGGCAGTCCCGTACGCTCTCAAAACATCTCTCCTTTGCAACACAATAGTCAAGGTTCCTCATCTTTCCTCCACTAAATAGAATCTGGTGTTCTAGGAAGATTTTGGAATAAAGACTCAGAAGACCTGGGGCTCACTGCTGGCTCTGAACTTGTCTAGTGGTGTACATTTTAGAAGCACAGTTTCCCTCCTAATGAAAATATGGTTAACAACATCTATAGCCTTGCAGAGGTATTATGAAGATTAGGTATGTAACAGGTACTCCACAAATAGTAGCAACAACAAAAACAAAACAATTTTATTGTTAGATATCCTTTTCTCTCCCTCCTTTCTTTTATACAGTTTTT